AAATATTTTTCTTTTGCAGTGGTAATGCTCAACAGATAGGCTTTTGTTCATATATTATCCACATATTGCATTACAAGTCACAGGACCATATTTGAAATTTCATCGGGGAAAACCTCATATTCTACTCAGGAACCTGGTGACAGACAGGCTGCTTGGTAGACAGAGTCTCCCACTGCAACTCTGTAGAATTCTGTAAACATTACAAGAAAATGTGGCTCAATTTTTGTGAGAAATTTTTCTGCAAATTAAGGTACATTTTGAAGGTCATGAGCCATAATATATTAAGATTTCAGTGTAGAACAAAGCTCTCCTGAAATAGAAGCTATATAGCTCTGTTTAAACTATAGACAGACGCGTTAGCCCAAATACTCATTATAAAGCCCGGAAATCTGCTTCCCAATAGTTGTTAGTAAGTTGTAATGCCTTTGATGACTTCATCATTCCCAACAAGTCAGGAAACAATCTAAATTTTCTTTTAAAAATGCACCGACTAGGAACTTTTGAGGGAAACCACTCTAACCTACTGCCTTAGAAGAGGACTGAGGAGTCACTGAGAGCAGAACCCAGAGAATTTTAACATCACCACCTGCAGTCAGTAAGGAGATGATGGACCTGGAAGAATTCTAAATATAGATCAGCCCAGAAATGCCAGAAGATGGCCAACAAACACTGTTTAGAGCAGACTACAATTATTTTAGCAATTAAACCCACACCCTGGTATAAGCCAAAAAAAGAGAAACAACTTAAAACAAATTTAATCCTGGCCTTGCACTCATGGGGCTCATGACATATGAAGGAACTGGGGAATCATTTAGATGCTTAGGACTTGTTTGTGAATGATAGGTACCTTGCACTTATCAAAGAGACTTGTTTGGGAGTGCTGAAGACCTTACACTTATCAATGGACTTGTTTGAAAATGCCGAGTCCCCTGTCTGACTTCTACCCCACAACTATGCTCAACACACAAGTGTCACTCATATCATATTGTTCACTGAGGAAGTTTCAACAGGCAGGTCTCTAGCAGCTGTACATGGACAGCATGGGAGTAGAGTTAAAGAAATCTGCAGTCCTAAAACAAGCAGCAATGTTTGTAGCAGAGGCTTGTTTTCTTGCTAACTTAAGACAAATAAAACCCACAGAGATGTGACTCCAAGGCGAAGGTACTCTGTTTGGTTAAAATAACGTTTACTTTGTGTCAGAAACAAAGGGTTCTAGTTACTGTGGCCAGAGGGGGTAATTTTAACTCTATCTGCCCCTAAGAGGTGTTGTCACTAGAAAATGAGGAGGACTCAAGAGGCAGGGAGCTCAAATGGGGACTGATTCTTAAGGAGGCACAGACCTCACAATGTAATGTCCTCTTGGCCTTTGATGTTTAGAAAACTTTTAAGACAAGCACAGAGATCCACAAAAGGGTGGCAGGCTATTCTTAGACAGAAACTGGGTTTTGCCAAGCACCAAATAGATTTTGAAGCATGGCACACATTCAAATGCTGTTCAAATCGTAAGAACTTCTGGCAGTGGATCTGTTGAGTACTGTAGAGAACATCTTGACTTCCTGCATCTTCTAATGTCTAGGAAATGGATAGTTTATAAAGACAAATCGGAACCATGCAGCATAAAGTCTAGACAAGGCAAGAGCTAGCTGCAGAAGAACACCCTGCTTGGCTTATCTTGATGTTATATATTGATATTCAAAGTAGAAAGGCCCAATTGTTAATTTTACCACACCAAGTAAAATTAGCAAATATCTCACTTGTCGGATGATTATTACAGAAAATCTGTCTTTATATTTATATTTCAGGGTACTAAAAGTTTGGTAGCAGTGATTCAGATTAAGTGTGCATTTAAAAAAACTATGATTAGCTGCTTAATTATCTCTAGAAGACTCAAGTTATGATATATATACAAAATTCCAATTAACTGGGAAAACGCTGTTTTAAGGATTTCAACTTTTTCAATCAGAAAATATTTTGAAATCTGAATTTCCTAAGACCCGAACAAAATTGAAAGAGGTACAAGAATGAATGAGGAGGGCTGCATCCATCCCACGGAACGCTTTTCCAAGGCTGAACAAGGAAGTGGTGCTACTCCCAGACTCTGGAACAAATGTTCCCCGTGGTTTTGTACCGCAGTGTTTAAAAACATCATATTTTAATTTCAGGCCTTATAAACTAAAGATGTCCCCCAAACTAATTACACTATTATTTTGGATCAGAGTTTGTGGCTGACAACATCTGTTAGAAACTCAATTGTGCTTCCTAATTAAAGAACCAAGTCTACTTGATGAAAAAAAGAGTTTAATTCAAAGGGAGCTGTAATACTGTGAAAATAACCAAATCATTTTCCTCCACAAATATTCTCCCCGGGAGAAAGAAGCTTCCAGCGGGGACAGAGCTTCCCAGCGGTCTCTACTGAGTATCTACTCTACATTTTATTATTTTCTTCATTTTCTGGGTCTTTCCTGTTACTTTCCAGCTGAAGACTCATTTGACCAATTGTTTTCTGCTGTTTTCTTCAGAAATAACAAAGCAAAGCCGTTTCAAGACAAACCTTTGCCTTTTGTTCTGTTTATAATTGCCTGTTGCATCAACACATTTAAAACTTTAAATAGTGATCTCCGAAAATTCCTTTTACAAATAAATAAATTAATTAATTAACCCTTGCTGAAAAAACGCCTAGCCTGTTTGTTAAAGAGGCAGCCCATGGTTCATTGACCCCATAGTGAAGGTGACCGTGCCAACTAGATTCTCAGAACTGGCACCTGTCCAAACCATCCTCTGCCTGAGCCTAACCTACACACTTGCCAGGAATCGAGAATCTGAGGAAGTGAGATGAGGCTTATGAGGAAGCTTCCTGTCATTGCGAGTGGGACTCAATCCTTTTGGATTTCAAAACCGGGAAGAAGCAAGGATACTCTAGAGGCCACCGGGCCCCATCTCTCCAGGCTGGCGCCCCCAGCTCTGCGTGTCGCTACATTGCTTAGAGGTTGCGAGGGCTCTAAAGCTCTGGTGGCCCCGACTCTAGGCTAGGCTGCCTTGCACTAGGAAGCCTGCCTGGCTCGCTCACCATAGACTTTAGTTTGTAAGCCCAGCCATTCAAGCCGCGGAATCAGCTCGAAGGCAGCCACACTTAGGAAGTAACAAGCAGCACCCTAGCCGATGACTGCGGGAGGGTCTCACCAGTTCTCTGAAGGTTTGCGTTGCAAAACAATTCAACCCGGAGCCTGGGGGGACCCGACACCAGAAAGTCGCCCCTTCTGGGTTCATTCTGGTCTTTCTCAGAACCCTTAGTTCTTCTTATTTTATCCAAAGAGACGCAACCTCTAGGCTGCCCTAAGCCTGCTCTTCTTCTGTGGTTATGGACTTTAAAGAAAGGGACTTCAGATCAAAGAAGATGAATAAAAGGTGTCTCCACTCTCTCACACCTCCTTGAATGTCTAGGAGGACCAGCGTCCCAGAAGGATTGCTACCCGCCCCCTTTTTCTTTTTTAAAATAAATTGCGCAATCTATTACAGCGTAGTCTAATGAAGAGCCGCTAGTTCCGAATTCCCTTTTCTGTTTGTGTCTTTGACAAATGGCTGGAGTACCGGTCCTGAGTCCCCTCCTCTGAGTCTTACCTCGTCCCACGGCCTCCCACCAGGTCTCTGAGTCCTAAAAGCAACCCGGACGCGACAACCCTCGTGCCCCATCTCTAGAGACGCCCTGCTCTCCGCCTCCCTTGTCCCGCTCCCAGCACCTAAAACTAAGGGCGCAGTTTTTGCGCTACTGACAGAGTAAACTTGGTTGCCCCAGTTCAATTAGCACAGGTCTTTCAGAAATTCGGACAATATTAAGTTTACGTTTCAAAATGAAGTGTATCCGACTGTGCGTTTTACTAACCAACGGGTAACGCAAAATTCGACATACCTTTGAGCAGAATGTGGGGATATAGCATAATTTCCCATCCATCCCCCTTTAACAGCTTAAATCACTATTGCCACCGGAGGATGTGCTTATAGATGAAGCAGCAGGAGATCCCCATTGGTTTACTATCCCAACACTGGGCGTCTTTCCCCGCACCGATATCCTGGTTTAATCACCACCCCTGGCTCGACTTGGAAATCTATTTTTTTAAGGTAGCAAAAGGAACGTTTTAAAGACCTTCCGCCGTCCAATGCTCTTCGCAGTCACAAGTGGCACACCTGCGCAGCCCGGGCAGCTCCTGAAGACCCCCAGCCTGAGAGCTGCAGTCTTCCGAGGGGCGCGTTCTGTGTCTCAATAACCTCCGAAAACAGGCAACTTCAATGAAAGCAAACTCAGCTTTCCCGGAGAAACTTCAAGGCAGCTACAATCTGTCTCCGATTACACAAACATACCTAAGGGCAGGTTGGAGTGTGACGAGGGCCTTGAGGGTGGGGGTTTGTCTGCTCAGAGGTGGTTGAAACCAGTTTTCCCATTGTTATTTAGCTAAGAAAAGCTAGCCTTTTGTGGTTAAAAGAAAAAAAACAAAACAAGAAAACAAAAACAAAAGCAAAGCAAAAACGTAGACGCCACAGTTAAAAGTTTGCAGAAGTCTTTGAGATTCGGATAAAACTTAACTTCAGGTGAGGATTTTGGTTCTTTTAAATTACAACGCCGAACCCAGTGTAAATAGTTTACGAGGGGCCCCAGTCATTAAATACATTCTGAAGAGGATTTACCAATTGTCCCAATGGGTAAAGAGTGCTTGCTGCCAAGTCTGGTAACCTAGGTTCGATCCCACAGAGTGGGAGATCCAAATTCTACAATTTGAATACTAAACTACTCCACCCTTCACATAAAACTGAATAAAATTTTAAACTATTTCTAAGAACTGACGTTGAATACCTGGCAGGTATTTCAGTAGCCCAGTCCAGCTCAGGGGTAGGTCAAACTAAGAAAAGTAGCAAGAGCGGGACTCTCCGGGTCTTGCCCTGGAAACCCAAGTTTCAGACTCCCTTTAATTATCACTGTTCGTATTTGCTTTAGGGGAAGAAGGCATACAGCCCTAGTTCCCTCTCCAGAACCGAGCGAGATTCATCTTTCCTGGGCCCAAAGGGAGCGACACATCTCCAAGTGCCTTGCACTTGCCAGCAGCTACAGCGGCCGAAGGAAGGTGGTTCCCACTCCCCAGGAGCCACGGGTCTTGGGCGTCCAACAGGGGAACTGTGTGGACAGGGCGGACCGGGACCGCAGTGAGCTGCAAAACCACTGTGCACGCGGGGTCCTACAGTACCAGCCTGGTTAACCAGCCTTCTCCCAGCGGGCGAGGCTCCGAAGGACCCCACGGAGTCGCAACCGGGGCCTCAGGGATTGGACAGCCTCCAGCCACGTGACCAGCCCAGGGTGAGCTCGCGCCCGCCCCTTCCCTCCTCGCGTGCTGTGGAGCACCGCGCGTGCTTTGTGCTCACTTTCACTTTCTGCACTGGAAGTTCATGCACGAATGATAACTTTCTGGCTGTTTGTTTGTTTGTTTTAAAAATTTATGTTTGAGGCAACGAAGTGCAAGAGGGAGACTTCGAACAAGAAGTCGCATATGTTTTTGGCGGGGGTTGGGAGAGGTGTCGAGGAGTGAGGATGTTGTTTGCGGAGCTTGCCTATCCTGGAAAATTGGGCTGCTAGCCTTAGGGGGGCATGTCTGTGAAGTGACACCGGGCACCGGGGCTTAGTAAGCAAAAGTACAAAGCAAGTGGGAGCTACATCCTCCAAGCCCTGATTTAGTCTGCTGTTTCTGAGGAGGAAAACCTGCTAGGTAGTTTGCTAGATTAGTTGAAGTTAAGGGCCACTTGTTAGCCCACGCGGATGCCTCGGTTGGAATTAGTACAGCAAAGATGCAAAGGATGGTCCCTGCTAGCTCTGTGGTCAATTGATGACTCAGAAGCAACCCAAAGTGAGTGCCACGCACACCCCAGCTCTTACCTCTGTCTGTTCAGCCGATCTGCTCCTTCCACAATCCTGAGCAATCTCATCTCCAGGCAGTCAATAGTCCACGTCGTTTGTTCTTTTTATCACACAAAAGTTATTTTACGTTTTGTACATTTTACCTGTGAACTTCTGGAACATAACATCAAGCTGCCTCCATCCCTGCTTCATCCCTTTCTTGTTTAGTACCCCCATCTTTAATAAGCCAGGCAGGTTGTAACAAAAGATTGGGTTTTAGAAAGAAAATTGTTTTTCCTCCTTTGGAAAGATATCTCCACCAGTTGATGGCAAAGTGACATTTAACAAGCTCTGAACTAAGCCCGTGTTTGTTTTTGGTTTTGTTTTTGCTTTTCTAAAGAGTAAGAGGAAACCACATCGACAAAGTGTGCACCATTGATTATCTAGCCCAGTTTCTGGCACAAAATAAATGCTCAATAAATTATTATTGAAATTAGGCTGCACTTCCTCCTCCAGAGTCTGAAGCGACAGTACAGCAGTGGTCCTTCTAGGCTTTATTTTTATGTAGAAGTTTCATTAGGGAGAAAACACAGCTCATAGAGAAGTTTGCTTCAATAGTATGTTGTGAGAAGTAACTTCCACTGACTAATTACATGTCATTTCGAAAGTATTTCCTCAGATTGGTTTTGAGTATATAATATTGCCTTTGAATTTCTCTAATTTCTCCCATGTACTTTTACCAAATGAAAGAGTCTGGGCTTATATTATGGGTTATTTCATAACCGAACACAGTGACTTTTGGGGGGAAGACATTATTATTTTCTCTGGGTGGTTATCTGAAAGTCTACCATAAAGTGAAGCCTAGACTAAGAACTAATTGTATACAGAAAGTTACATTCTTTGCTGCTTTCTGGGCAAAGAAGTCATATAGAACAGATATATAAATTCTTCATTTTAAAACAGTCCTGCTTTGGTTCCTGGTTTTGGGACCAAGTCTATGTGGAAGCCTGAAATGAAAGCTGTGTTCTCTTTGAAACTAGTATAACTATTGATTGGTAGGAAAAAAAGTCTCTGGCCTAGGGATATAACTCAGAGTTACAGTGCCTACTGATTAGCATACATAATGCACTCCTCCCCCACCCTCATTGGATCCCTGGGAGACCAGGGTGGGAGAGGAAGCTGGAGGGAGGTCTGACTTCCAAACTCCCCACTCTCATTCTGTCTCTCACTTTGTTCAACTCCCCAGTTACCTATAGGGCAAGTCTGGGAATGGTGCTGGGAGTTCTCTTTCTCCCTCCCAGGGTCCCCAAGACCTGCCTCCTTTAACCTAACTAGTTATACTTCAAATGTGTCCCCTCCTGTCTTCCCGCTGTCCCTTGTCTTGCTTCCTCTCTCACTACAGCAGCATCTTCACTGTTGGGTTCTGCTCTTACCCTTCTCTTCAAATCCTTCCCTTGAGTGATTTATCTGGAAAGCAGATCTGAACACGCCACTTGCCTTTAAAGCTCCCCATTACTTACCAGATAAAATCTAAGCTCTTGGCCCCAGCATCCAAATCCTCTTTAGCACTCTCTAGCTTTACCTCTCTTTACTTCCTGCCCTGACTACATTCCAGCCACGCTTCATGCATTCTATATCAGTGTGTGCCAGCTGCTAGGCTAGGCACCCTGGAAACCCGAAGGAACAAAACTGAACTTTGTTCTCAAACTTATATGTTGGTAATGGAGGGTTGGCAGTAAACAAAAAAAACCTAATACGTATATTTTATGGGGTGTAGGTAGGGTAATTTTTAGATCTTCTGGTCTGTTTTGGTTTTACTGCAAATATGAAATTTTAGCAAAAACATGAGACAGCAAGCTATGATGACATATAGGAAGGCTATCTAGGCCTAGGGAAGTCAAAGCAAAACCCTGAGATGGGTGGGAGTGGCCTTGCCAGTCAAGAAGACAAAAAGAGAGGAACAAGAGGGAGTAAGGTTGAGTATATCTAATTCCCCAATACATAATATGAAATATTTTCCAGGACAGACTCCAAAACTACACAGAGAAACCCTGTCTCAAGGGGACATAGGTCGAAAATTCTGTACCTGTGATAGGGTATGTGATAGATTATAGTAAACAGGGAACAAAGCTAAAATGAGTATATAACATTATCTTTTAGTCTATGTTATAAGCTATTTATGAAATAGAAAAGAAAAGCATATTTGAGCCAGATGTGGTGGGGCATGCCTTTAATCCCAGGAATGCAGAGGCAGGCAGATCTCAGTGAGTTCAAGGCCACTCTGGTTTGTACAGGGAGTTCCAGGTCAGTCAGTGGTACATAGTAAAATACTGTCTCATAAAAGCAGAAAACATAAAAATAATACTGTGTTTAGTTTTTACCCCACTCCCAAGGATTATTTAACTTAGTAGTGAGAGGCGAAGCCTGAAGAGAAAATGGGAGATGAGTGTGCTTTGGGGCAGGTTCTCACTAGCTCTTGTAATAAATTAGGGGGGTCAACCACTTGTGGTCACATTCTCCCACACAAACCATCCTGTGCAGACTTTGAGTCTTTAATCTTGTTACTTTCTATTTTAATTGTATCCCTCTTTCTAGTTGTGTTGCTACCGTGTGCCGCCCTGTTCCATGTTTGCCATATGATCTGAAAGACATAGGTACTAGAAAAGATTCGCTTGTATTTACCATGACATCTGCAGTACTCATTCCAGGCCATCAAATACTTCAAGAATTAATGACAATAACGTTCATTTGTAGAGTAGCTATGTATGTTAGATGCACGTATTTATCCCTAAAACAACCAAATGGGAGGTTTGTGACACCTATTGTACAAGAAAAGAAATGAGGTTTACTTATCTAAGGTTGCACAACTAGCCCTTGAGCTGGCTGGGTGTCAAGTCACTGTTCACTTTGGAAACTTCCTCAGATGACCAAATAAAAGAGATGAGAGCATTTGCTTTTGGTTTTGTTTCTTGCACTTGGCTTCTTATGCCAAAGTCAAAAGAAGAAACAGCACATTTGTCTATTTTAATAAGTCTATTTGTTAATTTATTAATTATTGAATAAAAATCTAGTGTTTACCAGATACAGAGAATACAAAGCTGAGCAAAGCAGAAGTGGGGCCTTCTCTTCTGTACTGTAGAAGAAAGAAGGGAAAAACCACAGTTCTAAGTCTACAGTCCTCAGGGCAGAGACAGCTCCTGATCCAGATGGAGAAGACCTCACCTGAGAGGACATTTGCCTGAAGACGATTCTAAGTGAAATGGACCACTGGTCTTAGGACACTACAGTTAGGAAAAGGGAGGGATCTAACTAATGGCAAACAAAAACATTCTCCACAAACTTGTGTATGGTACTAGATGCTATTAAAAATAAGTCAGAAGATTGTTGTGAAGACGGAGACTGCTCATTAGTTCCCAGCTGCCCAGACCTGAATAATCGCAGAGAAACTTTATTAATTACAATACTGTTTGGCCAATGACTCAGTCATGTTTCTAGCTAGCTCTTGCATCTTATATTAACCCCTTTCTATTAATCACAAGGTTGTGGCTTATCAGGTAAGATTCTGTTCTAGTGTCTTTCTGCTTCAGCGGCTACATGGCAGCATCTTTCTGACTACACCTACTCTCTTTCTACATCTCTTTCAGCTTGGCTATATTCGCCCTGCTATAGGCCAAAGCAGCTTTATTCATTGACCAATAAAAGCAACACATATACAGAAGGACCTCCCACATCAATGTTGTTTCAACACAAACTGATTGCAGTTTTTTGGTCCACAATTTAAGCAAAAGCTTTTGTTTTTATCTTTTTGGTAAGTTATGCAGCCTGTTTATTTGACTTAATGAAATATGTCTGTTTTAGGGATAAATCCCAAAACTATGAAATCCGAGGGTTCATTCAAATTATTTTGCTTCATTTGAATTTGGTGGTGTATTGCATCATTGGCTGGAGTTTCAGGACTTGTTACAGAAAGCAGTTCCAAATAACTTCACTGATAGGAATGAAGTTCAATGTTTGCTCATTTTTATTCTCCACTCAATGAAAGAAATAGCTCAGGAACCCATGAAAGGTGGTGTGACTGAGACAGGAAGAGACTAGACTGGAAAAGCAAAGACCCAAATTCAGAAAGTAGCATTTTAGTCCTTTTTAGCTTGTGGGAAATTAATAGGTTGTTCTCTTCAGATTTCCCCTGGTTTTCAAGTGAGGATATTGTATTTGCTACCATAGTAGCCCTAATATAGGACTTGATTTTCAAAATTAAAAATTTAAGGATGAAAATAGTTACTCAGACAACTTGAAACTGGCGGCGGTGGTGGCAGCAAAGCAGTTGTTTTTAATAAGAAAATGATGGGGAAGATCAAAGAAGAGCAGGGATCAGGATGTGGGAGTGAGTCCTCTTTATTGTGAACTGCTTTGGAGGGACGTGAGAGATGGAGATTAGAGATGATGAAGCCCTTTCCTTTGGTTCCTCTGATCTAGCCTTGGGTGATGAGAGTCCCCCTGGACAAGCGTCAAAGAAAAGACATGGTTAACTGGGTAGTAAAAAATAAAATCAATGGCTCATAAATACTAAGTGTTTTAAGCTTACATTTCTCCTGGATTAAAAAAAAGAAAGAAAGAAAGAAAGAAACCCTTAGCTGTTGCAGTTGTCCTCTGCAGCTTGTAAAACACAAGTTTCCCTAATGGAGCCAAGAGCGGCGCGTCTCGGTTGCAGATAGGAAGAGAGGACTGTGATGATTCAAAGACTTCCTGGCAAATGCATGTTTTAAGGCTTTAAAGTGTGCCCCAGAGGAGGAGAAAATATGCTGGAAAAATAGTCATAAAGTACTTTTTTATGTTAAGAACAAAAAGACAGGAAATGTTTTTTCCCTCTCCAAATATTGTTGTGTTTTCTCCATCTGGTGTAATAAAATAGGGCAGATACGTTATACTGTTACACAAAAGTCCACCAACAATACAGTGAGATGCTGGAAAGCAAGAGTCCCTGGTGCAGTAGATATGTTCCTTTGCCCCCCCCCTCCACTTGCCCTCCCTCCCCAACACTGCAACCCTGAGGCCACTAAACCTTATTGGCTTTTTACATAGAAAGTTTTCTTTCTGGCTAATGGAATTACAGAAGTACAGAACTGTCACCCTTACGTCTAAGGAATCCTCAGTCTGCTAACTTCCTTCCAAAACATTTTTGCCCTAATTACATTTTTGTTGGTGGTTTGAAGAGCCCAGGACAACCCAAGGAAATGATTTCATTCTAATTACATCTTTCCTTCCCCAGGAGGTCTGTGTCCCTTTCATATCTACCAAATTTACTTGATCCCTTGATTAACTATTGTCCACTTTTCAGTGAGGGGAAAAGCAAGCAGGTTAACAAAAGCCAGCCCGATCTCTCTGGGTTCCTTTTTTTACCTCCTTCCTTGAAGAGGCAACTAAGTTTGTGTTTTCTTCCAGCCAGCCCCCAGTTCTTACCCAGGGCTCCCAGTCGGATACAGAGGCTGTGTGTATGTGAGTGTGGTAGGTGAGGATGCCACGTTCCCCGTTCCCCTGACATCCAAACTTTGGGTGTCTTCCGTGCTATGATCTTTAACTTGTACCCAGCTTTGAAGAGACTGGTGGTTCCTGAGAGATGAAAAACCACTGCCCACAACAACCAAGTTGATTTCTCCAGATAGCGAGACCTGGCTTTCTGGGCCCAGGCTGGGAGATGCGTTCTACAAGGACCAGGGCTACACTGAAAGAAGTCCTGTATTGCTCCTATAGGGACGACTTTCTACACGCCGCCGCTTCCAACACTGCTGTCTTCCCTGGGTGGAGAGTAAATACGAACTCCGTGCTCAATTTTTTTTTCCTCTCAGTAATCTGAGAGGTGACAATAGAGAGGAACAGGAGCGCTTTCCTTTGAGCCGGTAACTGGAGAACAGATGCGGTACTTTCCTAGTCAGCGGGCAGACGAGCGCCCCCTCTCTCCCAGCCCCTCGGATTCATCCTGGCAGGAGCGAACAGAGCGGGGCCGGGTGGGAGGTGAGGGCGGCTGGAGGGCAGGGTCGGTGGATCGCTCATCCTTTCACTGCCAGACCCTCTGGGGTCCCTAGGAGGTAAGATGGGGTGACCAGGTCTGGTTCTCCCAGGTCTCTGCTCAGCCTGTACCCTCCTCACCTCACCAGCCTGCCAGATACCGCTGTTTCCTAGGTAGGAATGTTGTCCAACCCTCCCTAAGCGGTACCTTCAGGTTGGTTAGCCAGCTACCCACTTGGGCTGTACATGGTGGCATAAACTTGTAATCCTTGGACTCAGGGAGCTGAGGCAGGAGGATAGGGAGTTGAAGATCAGCCTGTGATACATTGTGAGACCTTTGTCTTAAACAAACAAACAACACCAACAAAAGAAAACAAAATCCAAAACAAATATTAAAGGCAAACAAAAATAGGAACCCCTCACACAACTACAACTCATCTGCCTGCTTGATTGGGCATCTTCACTTCAACATCTAAAACCCCTCAGATTTAAACTTTCTCGTTCCTGGACAGCATTCCCGCTTCAGATTTTCCGGGAACTTTTTAGGTCTAAAATCTGGGAACAAGAAGGCCATTCCTATACCTTAACTCACACTCCAAATGGGTCCTACCACGGTTTGGGGTTCGCATTGTTGTCCTCTATCACATAGATGATTATGGCAGCTCCTTTACCCTAGGGAACGCCTGGTGTGCCCACTTCAGAGGAAAGGTCTCCTCAGAGCCCACCACTGGCCTCTCTCTCCACTCTGGTCCCTCCCAGTGAACCCGACAGCTCCTAGAGATCTGAAACTCAATTTGTTTGAGGCCGCGCCTGACCTTGTTCTCCTCTACCTACGCTGACCTTCCCGCTTCTCCTGCCTCAGGGTCTGTGCCTTGCTGTCCCTCTGCCGAGAGAGGCTCCTCAGACCCTCCTGTGGGTCTTCACTCATATGCCATCTTCTGGGTGAGCTGTTTACCAGCTGCCTTCTTTTTCACTTTCTCTTCTTTGTCATCTTCATGGTACTTAACTTCTCTCATACGAAATGACTTTCCCCTCTTGGACGGCTTCCGTTTCCCCTTAAGAGTGTATTTGACAAAAAAAAAAAATCTATTTAAGAGTATGAACATTTGGTTTTAAACTTTTGTCTTCCATTACCGAACTCATGGAAATCACTCAATAAATATTTATTTTAATAAAATTATGGACAGGAATCACTTCAGTATCTTCTATGACCTTCTACAAATTATTTAATTGCCCTAAACCACAACTTTATCAGCTATAAAATTCTGGCATCTTCTAGGTTGCAGGGCTATCGATAAGAGTTAAATAACATATAATATACTAAACACATGGGAACATAATACTTAGTACTTCTAGTGATATATAATATTGATATATATATATATATATGCAGGTCTGACCTGTGCTCTATATTTGGTGTGTCTGTGGATTTTGAAAATATATAGAAATATATGTAGCACCTGGCCTACTTGTCTTAGTCTTTCCTCTTTGCCTATTGTATATAGCGTCTGGCTCAGATTTTTGCTATTGATATTTCTTGGTGCCTTGGAAGTGTGTCATTAATAATACTTGAGGCTGTTGAGAGGAAAAGGTCATTCAGAAGACCTCCTTTTCTTGGTCTGTGCTGCTTGCTTTACAAAGATCCCATCCATTTCATGGAAGAAAGGAAAGAAAGCAGGAATCTGATTCCTTGACAGACTTGAGTTTCCCCTTCCCATAATTTATAAATAATATAAAAATATTTATTGCATTACGTATATGAGTGTTTTACCTGAGTGTATTACATTATCACATGAATGTGGTGCCTATGGAAATCAGAAGAGGGTATTAGATCCCTTAGAACTGGAGTTATGGACAGTTGTGATCTGCCGTGTGGATGCCGGGAGTTGAAACGGAGTCCTCTGGACAAGCAGTCCTTGCTCATAACCACCGAGCCTTTCCCCTACCCTACTTTTCCTGCTGTTTGTTCTGTCTGCCCTTTCTGGGGTGAGTAGACACTTGTTCACAGCTCACCAGAAGTGTCACAGGCTATATCTTGAGTAGAAAAAGAGGCCCTAGACAGGAACCTACTAGCTACTGAGACTTTCCCCATTGTCCCTCTGTAAGAACTCGTGTCACTGAACCAAATGAAGGAGACACACAGGCCAGGCTGGACACCGGCGTCTGGAAACTTCCCCACTTAAAAACTTGGTTTAGACAACGGAAATGAATTTTCTCTTCATTCTGGAGGCTGGAAGTGTGAGACCCACGTCAACAGGTTTGCTTCCCCCTGAGGCTGCTCACTGGCCGGCAGATGGCTGTTGGCCTGTTTATTGTGTCTGAAGCCTTTCCTCTGTGCATTACCGTTTGTCTTTCCAGGGGAAAGGGGCTACAGGCCTTGGAGGAGGGGACACGTGACTTAAACTTCCATAGGCTGGAAATGACCCTATCTATCATAGTTTCCAACAGCTTCCCAGCCTGTTTCCTAGGCAAATCTCTCTCAAGTGGACTCACTCCATGGGGTGTTGGGAGTGTGTGGGGGTGTGTGTGTGTGTGTGGGGGGGTGGCTTGCACAGCCGTTCTACTGTGTTGTTCCTTTTGTTGACCACCCTTGCCCTAGCTTGCTCTCTCACCTGGCTTTACTTATTTTGTGATACACACATGCCCCCACCCCCACCTTCCACCCCCGCCTGAACCATGCAAGTAGGTCAGCAGTTTTCTTTGATTTCCTTCCAGTTCCTACAGTAGAGTTTGGTGTGCTTGGTCACCTTCAAATGCCTGATGTGACACGAAGCTTAATTCTGCTAAGCAGTGCTGACAGTAACCAGGTAATACTAAAGGTTTCACCTCATTTTCACAACAGCCCCTGGAGGGAGGTATGTGTCTATATAATTAAGAGAGGGGAGAACAGCAAGGCCAAATAACTTGCCTAGAGTCACACAGCAGCTAATAAATCGTAGGCCTGAATGTAGAATTCACATTCTGAGGGTCCCAGACTGCCTTGGGAAGACAACGGAGGACAGGCTCTGGCTCCTGACAGGAGGTGAGAGGCTGCAAATCTGAACCTCCTTTCATGTTTTTTTCTGTGAGTGTGGCCTCCCTCCAGTTCAACTGTCCGGAAGAAAACAACAGGTCTGGCATCTTAAAAGCCCTCTCGCAGAATCTCTGCTGGTTCCCAGACAACTCAGCGTCTAGTGTAGAGGAACCACCAAAGGTCGCACCCACTAGGGCCTTGGGTTTCCCCAGGTTTCATACTTGGCGTTCCCCTGGATCCCCTCGGAAGATCCCCGCACAACTATCACATGTGTAAGGAAACTAAAATTGGGAACTGTGGACTTTGGGAACTGAGAATCCCAAGGCCAATGTAGCATGAGCGCCCGGAATTCACGCGTGGGCCACAGCTCCATACTTAGGCTGACCTGGCTCAGGGGCCTAGGCAGAACTCGGTTTGCAAACTAGCATTCCGTACTGTTGCGCACCCTCCCCCGCCACCCTCACTGCCACTCTGCAGCAAGGAGCGTTTGTCTGGTAGTCACACCGGTGACCCTGACTTCTTGTCGCCACAGCTTTTAAAAATAGGGAAGCTAGATAGTAAACCATTTTACTGTGTGGAATCACGAATTCATAGGAAGAGTTGGTTGTTATTACAGGGATTCTTAAACCGTAACTGCTCACTTTGTGGGCTTCTAGGACAATGTGAAGCTTAAAATATTTGAAAACGATGATAAATTTTACTCTGATAATGCAGTTAAAGCATTGACTTATCCATCACTGCCAGAGCAATGCTGGGACAAGTCAGCAAAGAAACACATTTTCTGTGGTTCTGTTTGAAAACTCAAAAACAAACAGCTTGGACTTTTCAATCACAAAGTAGGGTTCGAATTTGAGCTCCCCTTAATTATCTTTAAAATGCAGACATTTGTCTCATGACAGTTGTTTCTCAAGCAGCGTTTTTTTCCTTCTTTAGACATGTTAAATGAAAGATTTATCAAAACAAACAGAAATCCCAATATCTTTTTCTTATCCAATCACTTTTTTTTCTAATTTTTTTTTTTAAAGAAGCAGTTATTTTTAAATGAATTCTAACAAAAAAGTAGTGAAGATGTTTGGCAACCCCATGGTAAAATATAATAGTGTCCTGAAGATAAAGACAGATTTCAGCTTCCTTTCTTGCCCCATTACTCACTCACTTGATGTGGCCCCTGACAAGTCCCTTCAGGGTCCTGAGCCTCAGGCTCTCCTCTGTAAAGAGGGGGATCATCCTGCCATCTCCATGCCTCCTGGGGGTGTCGAAAGGGTTAATGAGATATGTGGTGAGTGCTTTGATTCTAGGGTGAATGACCCTGGACAAATAAAGCATGATTACATATCAGATTCATCTTTGATTCATCCAAATAAATGGCCCTTCTCTTTATTAACTCTCTTCCTTTTAAAATTTCAAACCCGGGCTGTCTGGTTTTAAAGATTTAGGGCAGGGTTGTGACCTTCAACACTTGATACCCTGTGTAAAAGCCCTCTGCGCCCTCCGCGAGTTCCACTACCACATGAACCAGCAGTTCTGCTTGTTCACAGATACTGAATAACTTACTTTCCTCATTATGCTAGCCAATGCATTCTCCAACAAAGACTCCCAGAGAAAGGGTACAGAGGGAACACACAGAGAGCTGGTTATGCACAGCTAGTACCTTCTAGTAACGGTTTCAGTTAATCCTTGTAACAACTCACTGGATGTATATGCTGTCATTACCGTGTGCCCAGAATGCAAGCAGAGGAATTTCCATGTCATTACAGGTAACACACTGAAGACATTGAACCAAAGGAATGACATCAGAGCAGTGTAGTTTTAAGGTCATTCGGAACAAGAGGGAAGTGCTTCTTTGAAACTTCTGATGGAGAAAAAAGAGTTGCTAACCCAGCAGGTATGGGATTTGGCTATCTGGATTCCTGAATAACTTAGATGAGATTGTCCTAGAATTGAGATGATGGGGTAGGGAAATTACATATTAGCAAACTATAGGGACTCGGAGTAGTCAAATGTTGCAAAGTACAGCTTCTTACCTTACCTCTTCACGCCACAAGAAAAGAACCACAGAAGCGGTTGTGTGCTGACTGTTTCCTAGAAGAAAAAATCTTGAGAAGTGTAAGTAATTGGTTTAAACTTGTCTCAAGTGTTAAACTGTTTCTGACCTCTTCTAATAGGTACTACCTTGGGGTGTATACTAACACTTTCTAAAATCTGCTATATTTGAATAGCAGTCCTGCAGATTTTAGAAGAAACTGTAGAGATAAATGAAACACAGTGCAATCTAGTCAGTAGATAATTCATAGGCAAAATTTGAAAATTGGAAGGGTTTATTTTCTTAATATAACGAAAAGGTCTTATACCCTTATTAGTATCAGGGAAAGAGAAACTTTGTGGGATTAGACCTCTTTTGCACAAAACAAAAAAATGGAAATTCTTTGTTCATTCATAGAAATATGACCTACCAAATTCTAACTTATAATGCTGCACAGAGAGAAAAGAAACAAACCAGAAAATATAGTCTTGCATTCTGTGTGGACAGAGAGGCCAGCAGCAGCAGACTACTTCAGTTTGCTGAGCACACAGGAATATTAGGGTACTGTACGTTTGCTGCATGTTGAGAATGTGCTGAGTCATTGGTGTATTTAAAGCGAACACACATAGGCTGGGTTAATTGTGTGTTTAGTTTTAGACGTACAACACTGACACACACCGCAAGCAACAAAAGCAGACGGAGAGACTGCATACACCAAGTATTGAGTGATTTGGATTTCTAGGAGCCAGGGCAAAGACTTTTTCTGCATGAGACAATAGAAAGGGAAGTGTGTGTTTTCTGCCACCTACTCAGAGACCATATCCTTAAGAGAGTTAGAGAAGTACTGGCTTACAGTTACTTAGTTGGGAAAGTAGTATTTTTCTTAAAAAAATGTTTTATTTAAATGTGTGGGTGTTTTGCCTGCATGTCTGTCTATGGCATGTGTGTTCAGTGCTGACAGGAGCCAGAAGAAGGTGTCAGATCCTCGGGAACTGGAATTACAGGTGTTTGGTAGCTGTCATGCAGGAGCAGCGAGTGATCTCTCCAGTCCAAGGAAAGGATTCTTGATAGGGATTTCAGAGTACAGAGTCATGGTACATTAGAATAAGAAGAGTCTGTTAGGCGTATACCCGAAGGAGGCACACTCACACCACAAGGACTTTTGTTCCTCTGTCTTCATAGCGGCATTATTGTAACAGCCAGAACCTGAAAATAACCTAGATGCCCCTCAACAAAAGAATGGACAAAGAAATGCAGTACATTTACACAATGGAGTACTGCTCAGTGATAAAAACAAGTAATATCTTGAAAGTTGCATGCAAATGGTGGAACTAGAAAAAAATCATCCTGACGCAGAAAGACAAATTTGGTATATACTCAATCATAGTGGACATTAGACGTAAAGCAAAGGATAACCAGCCTATAATCCACAAACCCAGAAAAACCAAGTATCAGAGAGCATCCTAAGAAAGATATACATGGATCCTCCTGGGATAGGGTAATAAACAAATTCTCCAGAGTAAATTGGGAGCATGGGGAGAAGAGGAATGGAGAGGAGACTAGGAGGGATCTGGAAGGTTGAGTTGGGGGGAAAGACAGAGAGGAAGAGCAAGGAAAGAGGTATCTTGATAGAAGAATCCATTATGAGGCTAACCAGAAACCTGGCACTAGGGAAATTCCCTGGATTTCACAAGCATGACCCCAGCTAAGAATCTAAGCAGTAGCGGAGAGGGTGTCTGAACTGGTCTTCCCCTGTAATCAGATTGAGCACTACCTTAATTGACATCATAGAACCTTCATCCAGAAACTGATGGAAGCAGATCCAGAGATCCACAACTAACTACTAGGCCAACCTCCTGGAGTATTGAAGAGAGGGAGGAGCAATAATATGAACAAAGGGGTCAAGACAATAATGGGGAAATCTACCAAATCAGCTGACCTGAACTAGTGGGAGCTCACTGACTCCTAACTGACATCTGGGGAACCTGCACAGGTCTAAACTAGGCCCTCCAAAGGCAGGTGACAATGGTGGGACTTGGGCAGTATGTGGGGCCACTGGCAGTGGGACCAGGATCAAACCCTAGTGCATAAACTGAGTTTGTGGAGAGCCCATTCTCTATGGAGAGATACCTCGCTCAGCATAGGCGTAAGCATAGGGTGGGGGTAGAGGGCTTGGTCCTACCTCAGCAGAGATGATGGGATGTGGACAGTGATTGTTGTGTTTATTGTTTTGCTAAGTGTTCCGTGGATGTCAAGACTCTTCATTCCTGAGAGCATACATTACATTGAAGGAATTTTGATAAAGGAGTCCTGTATATGTAAAACCTCTCAAATAATGCAGGGGAAAAATACAGAGCAAGCAGAGGACGAAGCAAATGGAACAACATGCTAAGAACTGAGGACTCTTAAGGAAAAGGGGCAATCTGAGGCACTAGCCTTCTGTTAGTTTTGTGTGTCTGTGTGTGTCTGTGTGTGTGTGTGAGTGTCTCACTCTGTAGCCTTGGATGTTAATGGGCCGGGAACTCATTATGCCGACTATGCCTGGCTTCTGCTGGGGTTAAAGGCATGCATTGCCACACCTGGCCTATGCACTTGTTTTGAAACTTCTCTGTAAATATAGAACCAATAGCAGTCCTATCGTGCAGAGCCACTCTGGTCGATCGTCAGCAGAGGGAATACAAATCACCTGGGAGGCAAGTTGAATTGGTGACACAGTGTGGCCTTGGTTGGGTGAATTTGAGGCTTTATGACCTGCCTTTTCTTTATGAAGAAGCAATTGAGGGTAGCCTTCATTAAGTACCAGTCTACAATTTTGTGTTAATTGACCATAACTAACTTTTGCTATTGAAGCACACCCTCCAAATCCAGGAGAAATTCACAAGGTGTAGGGCCATTGTGGTGATTTGTGTCTTGTGTTGTAAGCTGGGGCTGTTGTGTGAACTGCCAGATATTCAATTCAGACTTGTCTTATTCACCAAGTATTTGTCAAGTGAATGCAATGTCACACCTGTTTTCTTGCTCTTAGGGTCATAAAAGAAAACAAAGCAGGAAAGACCCTTTTGTAACCTCCATATTGGTATTTTAAACATACAAGCACAAATATTTAGAAAGGAGCAAAGGGCAGGAGTAAAATAATGGCTTCACAATGGTGTGCCTGTTGGCAACCTCATGGTTAGCTCATAGTCTGTGGGCAGCTGGCCTCGCTCTGCTGGTCTCAGTGGAGGTGCCTCACAGAACAGCATCCTCAGCTCAGGAGGGAGGATGCAGAGCTTTGCATCTGTTCCACGAGTTTCCTGTCTCCCTTGGACCAGCAGAGATGCTAAGGCATGTTGTTATGCTGACTGTAAAGATAGTAAAGCTGTTGTTCTGTTATGTCTGCTATTTCATTGGTTAGTCAATCGCCTGGCTAAACCCCAAGTCAGGGAGTGGGGCAATGCACTCCTGAGAAGGAAGCTGCCAAGTCTTGAGTTAAATAGTTTGAATATGATGAGCAATGAAGTTTAGGGCCAGTTCTACAATCAACCAGCACTGGCAAATTCACCATCTCCCACCCACTAGATATAATTCTTTAATCCCTTACTCACTTTGGTATTTTTGGTATATGTTATTGTGTTGAGCATGTATTATTCTCCTATGGTCCAGGACCCAAACACAACAGTTCTCCACAAAGAAAAACAATCAAAAGAAACAGTAACACTTTTCCTCATGGTTTTCATCTTTCATCTTCAAGAAGGATTTTGGTGGTAGCAGGGGTCCTTGCCTATTTGTTATTCAGGATAAATGTCTAGCAATATGGTCAGACGACTAGAATGTCCTAGGGCCAGTCTTCAAGCTGTATGTCCACTCTGTAGTGGACTTTGTAATCGTAGATTTGTAAGAACTATTGTAAGACGGGGTTGGAACTTTTCTGTCCTGATGGGCTGCTCCCAAGTAATCACACAAAAGGCTATAATAATTGCAGAATGTTCGCCCTATAGTTCAAGGTTATTACTAACTAGTTCTTGCAACTTCAATTAACCTACTTCTATTAATCTATATTTTGCCACATAGCTTGTAACTTTGCCTGTCTAGCAGGTCCTGTTCTTCTAGCAGCTGGCTCGCATCTCTCTTGACTCTGCCCTTCTTTTTCCTTGTATTTTAGCTTGACTTTCCTGCCTAGCCTTATTCTGCCTTGCTATAGGCCAAATCAGCTTTATTACCAACCAATGAGAGGATAGCCAGGGCTACACAATGAAGTCCTTTCTTGAAAAAGAAACACACAAACAAAAGATTTCACATCTGTCTTTTTTTTTCTTTTTAACCAGTTTTTGATAAAAGTTGTAGAGGAAACTATTGAACCTTTTCAGAGCTTTTGGCATGATGGAGCAATCTTATAGGGTGGGGAAAGAACAAACCAAAGACCCAACCAAACAGGAGTTGGTATAATTTCAGCCTATCTAATTGCTGTGCTTGAGTTTTTTCCAAGCACTTAGCTTCCAGAGTCTTGCCATTTTGAAGACATGAGCAATTTTCTTGTTTACAAGCCTAAGCTACTGAAATGGAAGTCTCCTCATGGTTGTCTGTGCTGATGTTAATGGGCCCTGGCTGGGGCATCCTCTCAAGAGAGCTGTCCAATTTAGCCTTGCCAAATGAAAGCTTCCAAGAATGCAAGGAAGTCAGCTACGGCCATCTCTCCTTGGACTAAACAAATGTGTTGGATTTTTGCTCATAGCTTATTGTCTGTCTCTGTTACACTTTTTCATTTTAAAAAACTAACTTAAAAATTCTTTTTCTCAAGCCCTGTCTGTTTCAATATTGAGGAAATAAGGGGGAAGCCCCAGTGCAGCGCTACATTGATTGACTCATTGTTTTAAGAAGGCATA